GAAGCGATGGGACTCCAAATGTAGCATCTATTATACCCGCTCGCGAAAATTGGGGTAGTTCATTCTTAGCAACGAGTTTACACAGCAGTGGAAAATTGCGGTAAAACATAAACAAAAAGGGCTGCGAACGTTTGCTCCGGAAGGTAAACCTTGTTGAGTCGAAAGGGACGGTGGATTGGATTCAAGTTATTGGTGTGTTTAATGGGCTTTACTCGATCTTGAGAAATGTGCCAGAGTTTGTGATTCTCGTTCCTGGTGGGTTTATTCCCTCTAACACCCCAATCAAAAACGACGGTCCCTTTGCAATCGGTGATTAAGCTCGCGTTCTTGAGTGGCGTGCAACGCGACAGCTCGCGAGGGTTCCTTAGCAAAACGTATACCCTTACGATCGTGTGAAGGATGTATAATTCATAGAAGCTCACAGGATCCGCATTTTTCAAACTTTTTGGCTGTCAATATTTCCGAAATATACAATTGCTAGCAGCATTCTTGAAAAAAGCGAAACTCAAAAAAAGAAAGAACTTCATGCAGTGGCCATCAACGCCTTAAAGATTGCCCCCTCATACGTCGTCGCATAAGCGAAATATTGCATCGTGAAAAAATATATATATTTACGCGCGAAGTTAGTTGCAACATCTTACTACATGGTTGCTCTATAACTACTCTTCACTTTGTTCTCTTATAAACCCGCTTCAGGTTGCATTACACAAATGGTGGGTCCACAGAAGAACGTGAATGATATATGCTGCAGGTTTTGTGTGAACTATGAGTGGTTTCATATTTCACGGAGTTTGACAGTTCCTCATTAAATAAATGTTTGATAATTTGTAACGGGAAGAAGTACAATCGATGAAGACTAGCAGGAGGAGCAGAAGTCGAGTTAATCATGAGCTGTCTTGTCATACATAACCAGTCAAATAAAATCATTAAAAAGGGGGTGCAACGATTGTAAGATTTAAAAAATTGCCTCTCGTCATTTTTACGTTGTTTATCGTGTCCCGGAGGATAAAGTAAACATCTCTTTGATTAATAAATGTCGCGATTCCGCTGCATATTCACAAAGCAAAAGTCGAGCTTTTTCCCCCACCTGCAGCCGCGAGTGGCAGCCGAAGGAACTACGTCGAGAAGCTTTCGTGACCTCGCTCGGCACTAAGCTGCAGCATAACGGCCGCTAATGTCAGCAGAGATAGGGAGAGGAAGCGTCCTCCGAGAGAGCACACGGGAAGCTACACGGCACCTCGAATTACGTCACTACGAGTGCGACCAGGTGTGACCCTGAAGACTGGGAATGAATTGAGGGGTGCCAGAAATGCCAATGTTTGTCGATTTTGTTACAGAACAACTAGGACACGCAGTAAAAAACGGTTTTTGTTCTTTGCTTCAGAAATGTCAGAGGGCAACTTTCACAAATTTTTGACCGAAGTTCGGAAATTGTTGTACCCGCCCTTTAAAGCCTTGCATATGAGGGATTTCCTTGTTTTATACTGAAAAAAAGCTAGGTGTATTTTCATGTTTCCCGGAAACTGGTAAGAGATTTATGAACCACCCCATTGAAGCGCCGAGCACGCGTCGATACCCTGTGGTTGGCATTAGGCTGTGATAAGTCGTTACGTCACGTAACGTGCAGCCGGTGTTTGGTTCGTTAAATAGGTTGCACCAGGCTCGCAACCTGTCACGCCGCATTTCTGGGATGGCTAGATGGCGCAAGCTGCCGCCCGTTACAAAGGCTATAGCCATTACCATCCATCTATCCATGCTAAGAAAAGCGAGCAGACGAGACACTCATTAAACACGCAGGTGGCTATCGCATCTTCTTGAGGCGCACGCTACCCGGGCAGCCGCACCAAGGGACTCTCATTGGCGGCGCGCACGGCACGCCCATGGGCACGGGTGGCAAATGGCGGCGCACCGAAGAAAATCGGCCGGTTTGATTACAGCCCAATATATGGCGGCGCCCAATCAGGAAATGGGTTGTTGTTCTGATTTCGCTGCCACGCCTTTTTTACGCCAGAGAAAAGCCTTGCGGTGTGGGGTTATTCATCCATCGCTGCGACATGAGCATCACGAGTTCGTGGGGGTCCGTTTTCTCCGACTGGATTCTGCACCCCCCTCCAACTCGATGCAATGCGATTCATGTGCTTGCAATTATTGCCGGTTTTAAGCCCTCAAGAGGAAATTCCAGATTATTCCTGAAGAAGTTTGGAAATACATTGTGATGCACTGCCTTGAACAATATATGCGGTGTGACAACTCAGAACTGCTGCACCCCGTCGCTTTCCTGGTCAACATCCAGCCACAACGTTCGGGTGGCTGAGACGAGCATGCTGCAAGGTCCTTGCGGTCTCCACTCTCGTTCAGTCCGCACGTCATTACATAGATGACGCAATAGTAGACGCGGAGGTGGAGGAAGATCCACCTCATGGAACATTAAGATTCGCACACCCCCAGGCTTGGGTATGATCCTGGTTCGAGCTTGCCCGTCTCTAAGAGAAGGAGCTGCATCATCATCATCGTTATCATCGTCATCGTCGTCATCATGATCATCATCACCTGTGTGGGGTTTTCATCGTCCATTGAAAACTGCACTCTGGCCGTCCGCAAGCGAGCCGTGTCGTATTTTAGCTGCACTGCGGGAAACCTGGCTCGGTGGCGGTGTAGCCCAATGGAAATCGCGATCAGTCAAAAGCAGTCGACATTGTCGTCTGCTTGCTTCGCCTGTCAGGAGATGATTCCGCAAGAACTAATCCAAACCAACTTGGTCGTCAGCGTCGACGTCCGCCTTTGACCATGGCAAGTTTGGTGGCATCACTTTTTACAGGAAGGGAGCTACTGTAATACCCAGACAAATGCTCCCCCCCTCGTCTCTCCCCCTCCCCCGCCACTCCCCCCCCCCCCCAAAAAAAAAAAAAGACAAATAAAATAAAACTAACGCACCTATATTTTTGACATAACTTGCTATTAAAAAAACACACACAAAAAAAAAACACCGAAAGATTGTTTATTTTAGTAACTGCGGTGCCTTTGCCAAGGGTGACCTCGGCCGAAATGGGGTTAGCTATCGTGGGAGATAGGCAAAAATTGCTGACTGAAAAGGGCAGTTGTCTATACTTCAACGCCCTTCAATGTAAAAATCAAACTTGAAAATTTTTTTTTTTTTTTTTTTTATAGTTGCACTTTGAAAGTTAGCTTATTCGTCATATTCATCGGATTTGCTTACGCTTTTTGGGTGGAATATCTTTTGAGATATTACGATACGCCTTGAAATTTCGTAAGACAAGAAGAACAAAAACGTACCTTCGATGGAGATTTTAGACTGCTACGTGCAGACACCGATATTTATACCGATTTTAAAAGCCAGACTTGGGATCGCTGGCACCCCTATATATAAATTCAAACATATAACATGCTCCAGTCTATTTGATAATTCGTCAGTATTTTATTGTTGGTGAAGCCTATTTCTACAACACGCCAAATAATTTGGCAGGAACCAAGCCGGCGATGTTCAACCTTGAAACTTCTCTTCCAAGCATTTCTGTAAAAAAGAAAAAAAAATATATATATATATATATACATGTTAACAATAATTCACGCCGAAACAAAAACAAATACCACGATGAAATATTGATTAATCGAATTACATTTTTAACAATACCGACTTCAAAATAAACAGTCTTTCTTATGCTCCACCAATATTCACACATGAAATCGAGAAAACAATTGCGACCAAAACTGATCTTTATTATTGAATTTCTCTTTTCTTTTTTTGCTAAAAAATACCAAGTATCGGTGTTTTCCTTATCTAGTTTGTCGACTTTGTCACCCCTGTAGTAAAACAACAGCAACAACGGGGCTGTGTATTTTGGGGTGTTTCGCTACAAACGACGCCGAAATGCGAGCCCGCATTGCTAGCTTTGCCTTTCTTCGCACGACCTCGCGTCTTTGCAGACCGAGCCCGCATCGCTTTTCTATCCCTAATCGAACGTCTCGCTCCCTCTCTGTCCCCCGGTGTCTCGCTGGCACGTCAAGCTCTGTACGTTGTCGCTTTTGTTCCGCCATCTTAGTCCTCTCCTCCCTCTTGCCAGGCATTGCGAAGACTGCGGCACGTCCAGTTTGCGTCTTTTCTCGCGACCCGCGCGTGCGGAAGAGGACGGTTTGTGTATCTCACTCTTCCACGCCCCCGCACGTGTTTCTTTCCGATGACTAGGATTTTCCAAGGGGGAACGGGGGGACCTAAAATAAATGCTATCCCACTTGAAAATGCGTTGTCTCACGTGTATATCAGCTTACAGCTCGCAACGCACCCTAGACGAGCGCTAACGTGCCGTCAACGGTTCCAGAAACCCGGTCTGTTTACATCACCAAAACAGAAAGCAATCGCTTAACGATTAGAATTTGTTCGATAAAAATATATTTTAATGAATTAGTGGATGATTTTATCGCAAAAATGTAACTACATTAGCCAAAACAAACGGACACTAAACAGCTCGCGAAAGTATTGATCCTCAATTAATTTTTTTAAAAATCAGCGTATATAAAACCGAAACAAAGCATAACTTGCTTATATCTAAATAAAAACAGAAATTTCCTATATCTCTTCTTTTTTGTCGGCTGATAACTACCTAAATAAACGTCCCTCACCCCTAAAAAAAAAAGAAAAAAAATGAAAGCCGTTTACAAATCCCTGTAACGCCGAATTGGAGCGCAGCTCTTGAGGAGGAGTAGGGAAGGGTACTGAGGGGGGTCACGTCACCTGCGGGTAGTCACGTGACCCCGGGGGGTCACGTGATCTCGGGGGAGGGGGGGGTCACGTGACCTGGGGGGTCACGTGACCTCGGGGGGGGGGGGGGGGGGGGTCACGTGACCTCGGAGGGGGTCACGTGACCTCGGGGGGGGGGGGGGGTCACGTGACCCCCCCCCCCCCCGGTTACGCCGACGCCGACGCCGCTCAGGCTGGAAACGGGCCCCTAAGAGCTGCGCTCTAAAAACACTGTTTACGCGAATTACCGTGTACGGTTCATAGACTAAAAATTTTAAATTTTATTAATTTACACATCAATGAAAAAAGCGATTTGTATTCCGATTATTTCACATGTATACCACACTAGTATGACTAAAATATAACATTATAGGCAGTGTTTTGGCCTTGAAACGATCGGAGAGTCGAACTCACCCGAGCCATATCAAACTTAACGAGCTCGGCGTCGGTCATGCCGCTTGACGTCTACAGGCAGAAAAAGAAATTAGCCAAACCTGGACATGACGTCATCATTCGTGGATCCCCGACCCGACCCCTAGCGGCGAACACGCCGAAGTCCAACGAGACACGCCGCTGAACGGCAGACGCGTCCGTCTTGGCGTCGCCGCGTGCTATTCGGAGCGCAAGTTCGTCTGCTTCTTTTGCAAGGGTTGTGGTGACGTCAGAAGCAAGCTGCCTTGAGGTCTACCCACTATAGTTCAATCAGAGCCAATCAGAGCTCGGCGTTCTGACGTCAGCACAAACCCCTGCAAAATAAGCAGACGAACTTGCACTTCGCATAGCATAGTGCTCGTTGTGAGACACCCCGCGGCGCGCTGCCTGCGACGCTGACGCACGCTATAGGCAGCGCTGCATGGATACACTAGAGATGAGACGCCGGGACATAGAGCTAATATAATAACCTAGAGAGAAAGGTCCCACGTATGGCGCTACAGAATACGCTGCTACGGTTTAGATTAACGACCCTCGAGCCATCTTGGCGCTTCAAATCATGGTGGTCAGTTATCTGAAAGCTTTATCTGAAATCGCAGGAAACGTCGCTCTTCCGTCCGCCGGAAATGTAAAAAAAACAGTTCGCGACCGAGCAAAACGATATCACCCGAGCTTCCTAATGCCGCTTCTAAAGCTGAGGAAGTCGCGTTTTTTTGTTTTTGTTTTTTTAACTGTTGCGATTGACAGTTGCGTCTACTCTGCACAAAGCACCAAGATGGCGGCGCCCACTAGCAGATCGGGGAACAGAATGCCGATTTTTTTACCCTAGTTACACTAGCGCTCTTAATTGTCATTGAGCCACCGACAGTTGACTGAATCGCGATTGGCCGGAGTTACATGCGACGCCAACTGTCATTAAGCCGCTAACAATCATTGAGTTCAATTGAGTTGGCCTACATTACTGTATTTCACCTTATGATGTACCCCAGGAAAGGCTACAAGTGCGAGCTCCTTGCTCTGGGGCACATCTCGGTGGCGCAAGGTCTCTCGCATTAAGGGCAGCTGCCAACGGAGCTCGCGTTTCGCTGCGATACAACATAAAGTGAAACGGAGTAGAACTGATGACGGTTCGCCCCAATAGAGCTAAAGATGGCGGCGCCTGCTGCATCGGCGCCCATGGCCAACGCCAGCGAAGCCCTTACCACTGGGGAAGATTGGGGGAGGTATCTAGAAAGTATCATAGCAGCATATGTTGTTGGAAGAGGTATGGCTCGCGGCCAAAGCTGCCGCCCTTCATGGCACGTCGCGGAAACCAAAGCTTGGCGAGGGCGGCCATCGTAATGTCGGTGCCGATAAGACTTTCGTTATGTCTCTCTTGCTTGAATTCGTGTTAAACGTTCTGAGTGTTGTTTCTTTACTTTCCCCGCTAAATTTAGGAGGGAAATTCTCTCGCTAAACTTAGCGGGAAAATATGGCGGGGAAATGTTACCGCTAAATTTAGCGGAAAATGTTTGAGCTAAATTTTACGGAAAAATTATCTGCTAAATCTAGCGAGAAACTTTTCCCGATATATTTAGCGGCAAAATTTAGTGAAATTTGTTTCGCTAAATTTAGCGGGGAAATCTTCTGATAATGCAACGCGCGGTTACGCCCTCTTGCATTATTCCCATAATGCAACGAGCGCGGTTAGGCCGACGTCGACGGCGACTCTGCTCAAACCATAAATGGGTGCCTAAGTTTCGATATAGAACAAAACAACGCGGGGTGGATGTTTGGAGTCATCGCGTTCGTAAACCACCACCGTCAAAGTCGACAGCCTAACGTCACTTCGACTTCCGTCTATAAAAAGCTGAATGAATCCCATCATAAACGTCGCAGTGAGTGCTTTGCTATTCCCGGAGCACGAATGCTTTTAATCGCGCATGTCACCAATATCGTACTATCATCGGTGTTCTATCGGCAGTCTCGTGCAACCCCACATGCCACAAAAATCTGCCGAACGAGAACTAAAGCCACAAACCTCGCACACAAACCTAATTTATCGATCTCGTTATCTGTGCCTGACAGCATTTGCTTCTTTACGCAAGTTGGAGTAGACCTTTAATATTTACTATGCACTTACTAAGTCTGCGACGATGTTTAGGCGTGCTTACCTCGAAAGAGTCGGCTTTTTCGTGGACGCAAGCTTTCATCTGTAAGGATATTTGGCCGTGTTAGTTCACCTGTAGTTAGTGTCTCCGCCAGCTCAAGAGACGCTGGTCGTGGCGAGGCTGGAGCGTCTTACCCCCCCCCCCCCCAAAAATGACCAATAAGATCACGAAAAACGGTTAACGAAGCCATAAGCGCGAACATAATACACTGTGTGTTTCTTGAAGGGCTACTGACAAGCCCCAGATCGATATTATTTCCTCTTTCACTGTCTCAAATTATTTAAAAGCGCGTATCGAAAAAAAAAAAAAAAGATCATCTCGAAAAATGGAATTAGCGCCCGAAAGAGCCGGTTAAAGTTTATATCCCCCTCCACCGATTTGGCTTCTCTTGGCTTCTTTTTTTTTTTTAATGACGTAGGTAATTGACGAAGGCATTTTGGAAAACATTAAGAGGTGTCGCAAGTAGCCTGTCTAATCACTATTATTGTCATTCATCACCTACGTTTTCTTTTTTTACGATGGTTGTTTAGAAACTAAACAATTTAAAACAACCCGCCGTGGCTGGAGAGAGGACGAAGGGCAACACAACACACAGAGTCTCAACCATCATCGGTGGTCCTAAGCAGTCTCACACAACCCCACCTTTCACAAAAATTTGTCGACCGAGGACTATGCTGCTAACCGCGCGCATCCACCCAATGTATCGATCATTTAGACTGTCTGTACATATCCTTCGTACTTTCCCCAGTCTCGGGGGTTTGTCTTACATTTTGATAAACCTTCACCAGCTCGTTTGCGCCCTAACTTTTTGTTCGTTAATAATGCAATGCCGGTAAAAAAAGAACAAAGAAACAATCCGAAAGTGTTAATGACGAAACATCGGCCGTCTCCTAGGTTTTTTTCATACTTTCAACATGGCGGCACCCCGCGGCTCGGTGCTGAAGGTGTTCAGAGGGGAGCGAATGACGGGGAATTCGAGGACGGCTCGGACGGTTCTTTTTTTTGCGGGCCGTATAATTTCTCGGATAACCTCTCAGTCTCACGCAGCACCTTCGCAACATCGCCCCTCTCGTCGCTCACTAAAGAATGCTACACGTCCGTTTTATTCACTACCTTTTTCTTAAAAAAAAAATCATTTTAGGCCGACTGACACGGCTAAAAAAAAAAAGGCCCTATAAAGTGACGCGTCGTCCGCGAGCGATGGAAGTCTCACGGTTGGCCGGGCGGCACTTGCGCCTGCCCATCAACGATAAGAGTGAAAGAGAGAACAGGTTACACGACACTTTTTGAAGTATTTGCTTTTTGTTTCAAAGTCGTTCAAAACAGTAAGAAGTGCATCATTTCGCTAATTATGTCATAGGTTGTGGTTCGCTACCTAATCGACGCCCGATCGGGACGTGCCTCGCTCGCTCCCCAAGAAGTCGCTCACACAGTGTGCGCTTTCAGAATCGTTTAATTAAACTCACTCGTTGGTGGTCAGCGTCCTCTCCTCGTCCTCCTCGTCGTCGTCGTCACGCACTGTCTGGTTCGCAGGTTCAGAAGAGAACCCCCCTTGTCCCGCTTCCCTTTTTATGTCCTCGCCCCCTACCGATCACGTGCCCTCCCACGCCCCGGCCACGGGCCCCGCACGATCCCCGAGTGTGGATTACGCGCCGTGCGGTGTCGCTCCCCCGTCCAGGGATCCGGGTGAGCTGGAATGTTCGGCCCTGGCAGGGCGCGGGAGGAATGGGCGAAGGAGTGGGGTAAATGCGGGGAAGACGGGACTCCAGGGTAAGGCGGCCGGAGGGATCTCCACGAGGTTCGGGCTGCCGTTTAAAATCAAGCTTCCTAAAAAAAACATTTTTCCTCTGCATGTAGTTCTCAGCTCCACATTCTTAGGGCGACCCCTGTATATCATTTTCAGTTTTTTGCAGTAATAATAGTAATTTAAAAAAAAAAAAATCTATGTTGGGGTTGTCAGTGATCCTTTATAGTTAGAGCTCCCAGAGAGTATAACTTTTTTCTGTAATCTGTACCTATTTTCACGGCTTTGTGTTTAGACCGCCAGGTGCGTAAATATTTTGTCTTCTCGCGAAAGCGCCGGCGAGTGAGCCTGCGGCTACGGTTTTTAGTTCCAGTCGCTAGGTGCCGTCGATGTCGCAGAAGTCACCAGTAGACCCCCTTTTGAAAGTTACGCGCCGGTTATTTGAAGGTCGGAGTCACTGCACAATGGCGGAACAGCTGGCATCGTGGAACGTGCGAGTTGTTACACAAGGTATACCGAACATCGGAGCGCGGAGCCGACGGTTCGATCAGAAACGTCGAAAGCGCAATGCCACTGCGCCCAGCACATTTTTCGGTCGGTGTACTTTTGCCTTCTAATCCTACCAAACACGTAATGTGTGCCGTGACGTTGCGGTTTTAGTCCGCCATTGTGAAGGGATTCCACAGTTGCCAACAGAGGGCAGTATTTCGAAAGGGTTCCATTGCTATCTTATTTCGTGCTCTGGGTCCGAGCGTGCTACACGGCTAACCACCGTTAAGAGATAGATTGTAAGGTGGTTCAAACAGAATGTATTATCATATCATGGCTAGCTATAACAAACTCAACGTGTCGCGCTTTCTGCAGTTGTCCAAATTATTTTGCTGCCTTGGGATCACTGGGCTGTATTTCGTTAAATATCTAGTTCGCTAGACAGCGCACTTTCAAAGCACGACTAACGCAACCATCACGATCAGTTCCCTTTGTTTTGAGAGGCTTATCCTTGAAACCTTCTCTGAAGATCTCAAATGGTACCGAGTATTCCCAACCTCATATTTTTGGAGTCTAGAGCTTTCGATCGTTACATTATATAAAATCAGATTATAATCAAAAACCGTGCACATGGCCGGAATAATCCTTCACGTAGAAATGCACAAAGCTAACTTACTTCTAAAGGGCATAAAATTAAAATAAACCCGATATTATTCACCATATTAAAAAAGAGACAAAAACACAAAAGGTTTAATGTCGGTCTCAGGCTCAGGATTTTCGGGGTTATAAGTAGTTAGCTGCTAGGATTTTTTTTTTTTTTTTTAAGTATTGAATACAGTATTTGAAAAATCTCGTTCCCGTGAAGAAAAGAAAAAAGGAGCCAATGCAAGGGCATGCACAAAAAGACAATAAACTATTGCTTATTTGTTACACATCTCAATTCATGCACAAACAAACGCTATTTAATTTCTAAAATAAAAAAGAAGCGAGAAAGTCGTGCTCAAAACACATCCCGGAACTTAAGACATTCACCATCAAGGCCGGATATTATTAAACATTTCTAATTGGAGCATTTTTTTCCACTTGAATAACAGGTAACTATAAGATTTCCTTTGAAGAAAGCCAACGTGGTAATGAAGATAGTGAGACATCTTCTCCAAACTAGTCATGCAGTTAGATTCAGAATAATACCCTTTATTGCGCGCCGAGGCCAATGAAAGCATAAGCAGCAAAATAACAAAAGAATTAGACGCAGGCAAGCAAGTGGTAGACGTTTGAGATAGTAACATCCAGTGATTTCCCTCCACCCTCCACCCTCTTGTTTTTCTGAAGGCACCCCTTAATTCGTAACGGCTCCTCTACTCCAATGCGCCCTTCTAATCACCCCCCCCCCCCCCCCCCCTCACACACACACACCCTAAAAAAATTAGGCACCCTTCCTAATTTTAATTCCTGGAGAAACCCCTGGTAACATCCACTGCAAGACGCTCGGTGGACAAGATGAAAGGAAACGAGAGAGATAGATAGAGATAATGGAATGACGAAGAGGACGTTTGCCTGAGCCTGTTCTCCTATCTGGATATATCCTCTACTGGTGGCAGGGGAACAGGGAATAAAGGTAAATAAAGAAAGAAACGACAAAAAGGAAAATGATATAACGCGGGTGACGTTGATTGCAGTTTGACGCTGGAGTTTGGACAGGTGAAGCTCTAAGAAATAACCCTGCTGTCCACTTTTTACCGAGTTACTTTTCTTTTAATCACGGCGAAAAAATGCGTTTCTTTTGAGTTTTCCCCGTGAAGATCATCCTCATCTCTTATGCTAATTATTTTTTTTTTTTTTTTGTTTCACGCCTGCAGGATATTTCTTGCACACTAAATTGCAACCGAAAAGATCATCGGCAGTTCCCCCGGGTAAATTAATTATGCATTATGGTGACATATAGGATATTAGGGGCACTTACGAGGCTCTTTCTTTGAGCGATGTCGGATATTCCAGCAGTCTGGACTGCGCAGGTGGCCGCGGTGGGCATGATGCCGTCCATGAGCTGAAAGATACGCAACCACTTCACAATCTTCCCGATCGTCTTATTGTCGACCCAGAGCCGATTACATTACGGCGTTGGCCGATAACAACGCCGAAGAAATCACGAAGCAAGAATTGTGAATGGCGGCGTCGGTAGGAGGGGAAAATCCTGATTGGTCGATAGGGTCATGACGCCATAGCCACATGACCATGGGCGGGAATGTCAAACAACCCACAACGCTCCCGTGAAACGTAACGTCCCGAGTGGAATGGAAGTGATTAAAACGTATAATGTAATGCTAATGAAAGGTCGCCGCTGGTTTGATTTTACTTTATAAAGTCTTTCATTTGTCTTAAAGCAAACAATTTGAAGCATATTTAGGCGGGATTCGAACTCACGACCATCGGTTGTGAGTCAGGCAGGCTACTGACAACGCCACGCAGGGCTTGGGAACGATAGGGAGTTTACCTGTATTTTCCGGGCTATAGTCCGCGGACTATACATGTTTAAAAGTTGAAATTTCTGGCTGTGCGGACTATCTACGCGTGCGGACTATACAGGAATTATGTTTTTCAATGTCGTTGATTATGACGAGACGAGACGGATTTTGTGAATAAAAGAGTATGTTATTGCTAATTTATGTATATTATAGGCCTTTTTTGTAAGCTAAGAAAACATACATATGTCAAGGTGTGCCGCGTATGAGAAGAATTTCGTGTCGACTAAGCACCAGGTGCGGACTATGCACTGGGTGCGGACTATGCAGCGAATGCGGACTATCTAAGCAAAAGCTTTCATTTTTGACCCCAAATTTGCCTCTGCGGACTATACACCGTGTGCGGACTATAGTCCGGAAAATACGGTATGTGTTTATCTATCGCGTTTTACCCTTAAAGGCGAAGCTTAAGCGTCCTTCTGTAATACTTTTTTTAACCTGTCAGTTAGTGTAAGCTAAGCTCCATGTCAGCATCGCTGAACATTGGAGCACAACTTCAAGGTCAACGACCAGCATAGATTATGGGTGTACAGTGTTCGTGTACTATGATTAACCAAGAACTGCAAGTGAATGTACCACCGACCATTCGAGGGAGTGAGTGAAAGAGGGGTTTATATTGTGAGGGGAGAATTGCCTGTCTCGGTCCACTTATTGCGACGGCGTGAAATTAGAGATTACGATAGTAAAATAAAATACAATGAAGTTCGGGACAAGATTGAAGCGAGGCGGACATAAATGTTTTTGATTATTATTATTGTTCTAGAAGTCGCCGTGTACACCAGTTTTTTTTTACGTCAGACATTGGTGGTTTCAGTGAGTTATCAATGATTCCAACCATTCATAAAAATAAAATAATTTTTTATATACCTTACTCTTTCAATTTTTGGGGCAATCTATAGCCACTATTTTAAGGGAAATCTAGCCACTAGCGCGAACAGCAGTTCGGAGCTCGGTCGTCTTTTTCTCAGGCATAGAAATGAACAACATCAAATTATATTCCGCGTGTCGGTTCGTTCAGAATGAGCATTTTTCGCCACATGTGCCAACATCTTCTCCCTTCTGGGAGCGAAGTAAAACGCAACTAAGTGTAGCGATCGTCTTTTCGTTAAACCACGTTGCATTCTGTACGCGTCCACTCTAGTCACCGACTGTAGAAATGCTGGACTTCTTGCTTCGCGATTAATTCATCGGTGTCCTCATCGGCTAGTCTCTCAGTATCATTCACTCCGGACCCAAATATATTGTTCGAGACTCGTACACGACTTCCGTTTCTTAAGCTCTCAACGATTACAGGTCTCTAGCATTTTATTGATCCTTTCTTTTTCCTTTCTTTTTTGTGCGATCCTTTCTTTTTGTGTGCTGCCCAAACTTTTGCACGACTCATAGCTCACTCGTCCCGTCATTGACCGCCGTATACCTTCTTCACGACGTCGGGGTTTATTCCCTTGGCCACCTCGAGGCACCCCCTGGCCCCGTCGATCTTGGCCAGGAACTGCTGCTGCATATCCGGATTCGGAACCATCTGGCGCACCAGGTCCCTTAAGATCTCCAGGATGGCGTCCACTGGTCGCGGCACGCGGAGACCACCGACAAAGAAACGTTATTCCAGAAGGAGGCACACGAACTCACAAGCTTTATACATGTCTGCAAGTGATCAAGCTTTAAAAGCTAGTCTGGCCACCGGGTGGCCAGACTAACCCCAGACTAGCCTAATTGGAGCCACTAGGCGTTGTGGGGGCTGCAGTCTTTCAACTGTGGGCACGCCTTAGCAGGGAGTATTGGCGAAACGAAGATTAGGTTGCAGCGCTGGTGGAAATTTTATAGGGAACATTGAACTGAGTACAACTATCTAGCACAGCTGGGAAACAGACGGGACAGAGGAAAATTAGGACTCCCTCCCGCGTGGCTACTGTCAAAAGTTAGTCTAAAATTGGCGACTGCCTCGGTGAGGAGCGGAGGCGTTTGTTTATGTTTTTAGTTTTTGCCCGATCCCCCAAAGGTCTGCCTGGCGATCATGTTCATGACATCATGATAGTTAGAGAAACGAATTTTTTTGGAAGGGGAAATCATGTTTTTGTTATTGTTTTTAGGCTAGGTGGAGCAAGCTACCGCCCGTTACAAAGGGTAAAGCCGTTATCATCCATCCATCTATTCAGGCTTCACTATCAGACGATCTACACTAGGCAGCAGCAAGTCGGCGCCGCCCAGAAGCCATGCTTGATGCCATACGGATGACGTACCACTATTAAGGATATTTTTACGAAAACGGACACCACAAGAAAAAAGCACAACTCGTCGTCGAGGCGGCGTGTTCGGAAGACATTTATTTATTTAATTGATACTGCGGCCTTCAGTTGAAAGCCTTAGCGGGAGTAGAAGGTTTTTGATATACACAATGAATAACCACCCGAAATGCGACCTAAATATATCTCTGATGGAGTGCGTTATCAAAACTGGTAACTGATGAAAACGTAACAGTTTTATTTGACAGTGAATTCCAATCTTGAATTGCCCGAGGGAAAAATGAATACTTAAAAACATTGTGTTTAAATCCTTATTTCTGATTAGATTTGGTATAGCTGATGCTTGCTCATCTGGTCGCCGATGCGGCACGCAAGAGCTGCGCCTCTGTTACTTCGGACGCCAGTATACCGATCAAAAATCGACGCCGTGTGGATGTGTTGACCCTTCGGGTAAGTTTCGCCGAGTGCAGCTTCTGTGAAGGTGTATGTGCCTCTGAAGCAGCGCTTAACTTTGCAACGATAAATGCACATGTAACTTGCGGCGCTCGTGGCTTAGAAACGAGTTTGATTAAGTGGCGCTCAAAAACTATACCTCCAGTTCAGCGCTGCTCCACTGCCTTGCTCAACCTGTGTTGTGGCTTGAGTAATTCGGGTTCATTAGAGTAGATTTCGAACATAGCCATGGTTGATAGCGTATGATAGCAACCACTGATTGTATTTTTATTGATAACAACCGCTGATCAGTGACAGCAACTTGCCAGAACAACTGGACGATCCAGACCTGTGTGACGAATGTGTATGCAGAAAGGGCTGTATTACGGTACGCGCGACACAGCTTCCAAACTTTCCCGAAGGGGTAACATGTTCACACGACGTCGATTCTTGATCGGTATCCGAGCGTGCGAAGTCACAGAGATGCGGCACTTGAAGTTCCAAGACATGACCTTTGATAACGCCGACTGACCGCGAGACTTGCGTTCGACGAGTTATGCCTTGTTCCTGTGGAGCTGGACTTTCGCTAAAATTTCGACGGGTTTTCAAAGGCAAACGAGCCTCTGCAACGCTTCAACCTGCTGACTTTACGCAAGCAGGGATCGGTATCCAGCAAATTGTCGTATAAGTTTATGAATGCGCTTCTACGTTTGTCGTCAACACTTCTATTTTAATCGAGTACCTTATGGTGCTTAGTTAAAGGTGATGGTAAGGCTTACTTAGGAATGATTTGGTTAAGAAAGGCCTATTTAGTATAAGGACAGATAAAGTCGGATCGATCAGGCATATATTGGATACGCTAGGTTAGGTTAGGTCATGTCAGATTGGTTGAAACACTGATCTCTATGACAATTGCTGGATCGCGTTTGCCCGCTCCGCGAATGCGGTCACTGGCGGCCATCTTTAGGTAGAGTTATATCACCTCTAGCCAATGTAAGCTGCTGCAGCCGCTATCATCCATCCATGGCAGATAGCGTTTTGGCAGGTGGGTTGGCAGGCTGCGGTCAAAATGGCGTGGGTGATATTGCGTGCTTGATTAAAATTATTTTACGAAACAAGTTTTTGAAACCCGGCGTGAACAGTAGTCCGGTTTTTGAGGACCTGGTAAAAGTTTTACGAAATCGCAGCACCGGGAGAAAAGCAGCACAGCACGTATCGAAAGTCGCATCGAAAGAAGCATCGAAAGCAGACGACGGTACGGAGTCTGCTTTTGATGCGAGCTGCGCTGCTTTCCCCCGGTGCTGCGCTTTCGTAGAACTTTTGCCGGGTCCTCAAAGATGAGCCTACCGTTCACGCCGGGTTTCAAGAATCTGCTTCATCCAACAACTTCAATCAAGCACGAAATGTCACCCACGGTACCGTGTACTAGATCTACGGCTATTTTATGGCAGACTGCCGCCATTGCGCTGTCCGCCATATTACTATGATGGCTAGAGATGATATAACTCTACCTAAAGATGGCCGCCAGTGACCGCATTCCGGTCCATAGGAGGAGCTGGTCAAACGCGATCCAGCAAATAGACATAGAGATCAGTGGGTTGAAAGAAAAAACAAAAAACAAATTGGATGGTAGAAAATATTGAGCTAAGCTTTTTAGCTTATTGGAGCCTCTACTCGTTTTCTCCTTACGGTGGAGTGCGACGGCCGCTACTGGCCATCCCAGCCAATCTAGTGCTCTGAAATGATCACGTGACTAGGCGCCAAGCGTGTCGCTGAGGTTTCTCCGAAGGACAAATTTCGATGGACCTTAGCATCCTCTGTAGTCTATGGCAAAGTAAAACGGAGTTAGTAGTGAAACATGCGATGCCATTCTCTAAAACTCGGGAATTTCCTTGTCGAGTTACTTCCTGTAGCTTCGACTACATCCAGGATTTGTCATGTCAAGCTAGACAGTCAAAAGTACACGTTAACTACGAACAGGTTAGGTTAGAAGAGGTAACCGCTGTCCTGGAACTAGCTCAGCTTATCCCAACTTCGGAACACAAAATTGCAAGTACACAAACTTACCATTCCCCTCTGTCGAAACCATGAGGGCAGATCCAAGCAGAAGGACGAGTAGGAGTTGCCTCATCGTGGTGGTTGGGGGGACTCTGAGGTCTCAAACACTGCAACAAACAAGAGATGATATGCTCCACGAAGCATAGGATTCTGTTGGGGTGACATAAATGGCTACCATCCTCTTATATACCAATCTTTGTGAATTACACGGCTGGGTGGGTACATGAGACGACCCTCGGCCGCGGTGTCGTCCACCTGCGGGCTGTCAACGAAGCGAAGCGTATCAGAAAGTTCGAGATCAATTAAACTATGGACATCACGAAACCGCCTGGATTCGAGTTTAACCAGGTTCGACTCTTCCGAACTTTTGACATGAAGTTCGACAAAGGATCGACTAAAGTTGAGCAGTTATGCGCATGAGCGGAAATTGAAAACGACGGGTGTACCATTTATTTGGTGTTTCGTTTCACATTAACAAACTACCGATAACATGAAAACGTTTATGCGTTTCTATTTGTAGTTTATAAAAAACGAAAAAAAAAAGAAAGAAACGAACTGCCGTATAAGTGATTTTCTTCCGAACAACGCTTGAACCTCATCTTTAGCGGTCGGAAAACGCTGTTCAAAATCCAAACTTCAACGAATTTTCATTAAAAGTTCGAAGGCTCGTCGCATCGGGCAATCCTCGAAGTTTGACGTCCATCCTCATATTCGGCAAAAGTCTTCGATAACCATAGATTAAGCACAGTTCCTCGGCGATGGCGCGGAAACGTAGTTTATTTAACCCAACCAAAAAAAAAAAAAAAAAAAAAAAAAAAACGGACACGGGGAAATCGCAAAGTCGTTTTCTCGGTGAAAACCAAATATTGGCGGTTCTCCATCCTTCTGGTTTGACTAATAGTGGTCTCTTAGAAGCTAAACGTAGTCACGGCCTTTTACTAGTTCATCAGAGCATGCGCGCGACATTTTGGCTTGACAATCTAAACGCTCTTCCGTGTTTTTTTTTTCTTGTTTTTTTTTTTTTTTATGATGTGGAGGGAGGCGTGGGAAGTACGAGAAGGCCGCGTTCTTGGAGCGTAGGGTGCAATAAGCGTTGAAAGGCACGGCATGTTTGATTGAGGAACCAGCTTATCGTGCATATAAACGCTCGGGCCGCCACTGCTCGGAGTGGGCGGCCTAGATGGGTCTGATTTCATTGTTGGTTTCTGAGCACATGGTTGACAATGAAAGGGCAATTGATTCTATTAAAACCAGTGCACGTATATGTCGTTCGCTTTTTCTACGTGCCCTCGTTCCTATTGTGTTCTTTATCCTTTTACCGGTTGATTTAATTGCTCCGCCGAATCTTGAATCTGGGTGTATTTTTAGGTTGTCTGAAGCTTTTATACTTCGTTTCACCTAAAGGCGCAACTCCCCCGTGCATGCAGATTTGGTTCTTTTTTCACGGTATAAAACTATTTTTTATGCACTTTATAGTCATAAATTTAAAGTCACATTAAAGAACCCTTTGTAACTATGCCTAAATATTAATTTAGTTTATTATCAAGGTTTTAATAAACCACTGTGTCTAATAAGAAAATTTTATTTCGAGTTACAACGTACCAACGTCCACAATAATTGGCGATATAAAAATAGAATAATAATAATTGTAATATTAATATTAAGAAAAAGAAGAATCGTTACACATCCCAGATAGCTAGCGATCCGTTGCAATTGCTTACGGTAAACAGGAAAGTCACTAAATATAATAAACTTGGATTCTCAAAGCGATTAACAGTGACTGCATCCGTGACAAGGGTGAAGATTTGCATATTCTATTGGCATAAAAAGTAAAGTGATTCCTAGTCAAACGGAAGGGGAAATGAATATTAACATTGGATAAAAACTAATCATAATCTATAATTTCATTTTCTATCCTGTGCAAAAAGATCAGGTCACGTTCTGTTCTTCTGTCAAACAATGACCTCAGCAAGAACTTATCGCAGAAAGTTGAAATCAAAATAAAAGTGGCGCTGAAGATAGCGATTGCAAACAATGCGTATTAAGCATTTTTGCACGCTTTCAGTTTTTGTTGACTGCGTTTCTGACAAAGAATTTTAACCTGTAGAACCGAATTCAAGCCTTGACCTAACAAGAGAGCAAAATAAACGAATAATACAAGCAGATTTTAAATTATTTTGTGATGCACATCTTTGTCGCGCTGCCAATAAATAGATGACACGTGCAAAATAAACGTCAGTTCTTTAACTATGATTAACCTAGGGTATCTTAAAATAGAGATATGTCTAATCAAAATTCCTCTTGATACATAATCGTTTATGTAATACATTTCTACGTCTGCATAGGGACAAGGCATTTGTTTTGAGAGGGTTCAGTGACACGCTATACACTTTACACTCCTGAACTATACGCGATACATCACTCTGTAACATTTAGCAGTCGACAGGAGTATGAGCATTCATAAAAAGCTTGATGTCATCTGCGAAGAACAACAACTCGAAATTTTCGGCATATGACGCTAAATCATTTACGAAAATAAGGAACAAAGGGAGGCCAAGAATAGATCATCGGGGAGCACCAGAACTGGAAAACAAAAGTTCTTGAGCGACTATTATCTACTCGAAGCAACGAACTTCTAAACATATTTGTTTAAAATAAAATATAAAGCTTAAAATAGTATTATTTCACCGTGCTATAAAGACAAAATGACGTCGACAAACGAAAATTACAAAACATTAATTTACGAGACATCGATATTACTTTTTCCAGAACTTCCATATCAATGTATTACACCAAAAGCTTAGTATTAGTTCTCAAACATTTTCCATACAGTTACGGCAAGTTGCAGCTTCCTAATATAGAATACAGATGGCGAAACGCTTTCAAGCATAGCTTGATGTGCATTAGCCGTCGTGTGCCGCTTAGTGCGCCACTTGAAAGATAGAAACGGCGCCAGATGCTTGGTTGTGGTGGACGCCCGCAGTGAGCGAGCCAGAGATGTCAGAACAAGTTCGAAAATGCGGATGCACCCCAACTGCTTTTGCACGAGTTCCACTGTGCGTCGGAATACATGCCTGGTGCTATCCAAATGAGATGAGTGCAACGAAAAAAATTCCACCAGTTTCGATTGTGCCATGTATTCAAAAACAATTTAATGTTTTTATCAATTGCAGAAAACATTTTTGCAATCGGATAATGGCTTGTCAGAATGGTTGGATTATATTTTTTTTTCACAGCCACCTCGGTTACTTTTAACTGACAATAGTACTAAAACAAAACACAAAACATTAAAAAGTTTAATACCCCATTCACAAAGCGCGCCTGATGGTACCTTTAACATAGGTACACCCGCAGGCAATATGAAGGTGAACGCCGGACCGTCGACCGATCCGTGCTATCAGCGCCATGGCACGGCTGCCGTGGCGGCTCGCTTTCTTTTCGCGCGTTTCACCGAGATTAAGCGCTTGGATCGAGCGCTGTTTTCAGATCTGCTGGTACTCCCTGCAAAAAGCGTGGAAGTGGGTTTCGATTTCCGCATCGCTTTTTGTGGGCGCCGTGCCCACGTTATTGCCGGCAAATAATTTGCACATTGCTTGGACTAGAGCGAACGTTGTTTGGCGTGGTTTATCAGTAACTCAACCGCTTTCTTCACAGTGTAGCAAACCAGCACAAGGCGCTGGATGACATCACTGTTTTAATAAACGCCTACTTCTCTCTCTCTTCAACCGATTTCTCCATTCATAAGCAAGTGATAATAACGGTGAACGCTAATAACTGTTTATTTTATGAAGCAGAAAATATAAGTTACTTTTTGATTTGTTCCGCAGCCTTCCGGTTTCGCACCATAACACAACAAAGAACTACTAAATCCCATTGTCTGCCGATAGCGTCTGAAAGGCTCCTTCCGCGATCTCGGCGAAGCGCGCGATAAGAAAGCGAGCCGCCACGGCAGCCGTGTCATGGCGCTGATAGGCAGTGATAGCACGGACCGGTCGGCGGTCCGGCGTTCACCTTCATATCGCCGGCGGGTGTAATTTGAGGATTGGCGAATCATCCGGCACTCTTCGGCCTCAAGCGCATGCAACCCGCCGAGGATTGCGAACGAATTCGCCGTCGACCATAAATCTTTCTTAGCTAAAGTTACCTTTATGATCGCGTGAACGGGGTTTCAGGGGCTCTGAGCCAACGCGCTGGCCTACGAATCACTATAGGGTCTTTTCACGGACGTAATTTTGTCCGCCATTTTGTTGTTGTGAGCTGTCTAGCGTGTGCCGATCGCGTGTATTCGAAGGATTCACATGGCGCCCTGAAATGCGTGGTGCGCAGAAGCCTATATGCTTCATCACGCTAACATCGGCAGCCATAGGCGAGTGAAGAAAAATAACGTTTCAGAAACAAAAACTAACAACAAAACTTCAGATTTACGTCATTCGCAAACACCTTATAGGCCTATTTTGAAAGTCAAGTGCTCATTGTTAAAATGTCTGAAGCACAGCAAAATGGCGGAACTAGCCACACCACAGAACATGAGAGAGAGAAAGAGAGAAGGGTTTATTATGGAAGGACAGAGAGGTTAACCTGAACGTAGGTTCTGGTGGGTTACTCTGTACTGCATGGGGAGAACGAATAGGGGAAAGAAAATGCATGACGATGAGGAAGACAGATGAGGTGAAGTTGTCAATGAGGGGTGAGCAATGGTACTAATGTTCAAAATTTCACAGGCAGTTTTAAGCACCCTACAAAGTGTCCGACAATTCCGTGTTTGTGAGCAACACTGTTGTGTCCCAGGCACCAAACACTTTTGATGAGCTGAAAGGACGCGAGTCCAACGCCACTAATGTGTGTTGCAGCACTTATCGATCCTCGTTGAATTTATCGCATTCACACAGGATATGTTCAATTGTCCCTTCAACTTTGCAGCTTGCACAGTTCGCGAAATCTCTCATTTGAAACCGACAAAGGAACTGCGGTGTATATGCCACACCAAGCCGTAGTCGGTGCAGGACCGCCTGCAGCTTTCTTGAAAGTCCAGATGGAACGCGGAATGCAAGTTGAGGATCAATGGAGTATAGC